CCTGCTCACTATTTTCGTGGCAGATATAGTGAGTTACAAATACCTTTAACAAGGACGAACCTGATCACCATGAGTTACCATGGTTAAAGAAGGTACAATGCATACACAACGTTGTATATCCTTGCTTGCGAGAGACAGGTAACGTGGCCTTATTAAAAAGGAAAATTAGATGGAATACTACCAAAAAGATAGCAGAGTATCAGGTTGGAGACAGAGTTAACATCCGTCAACATAGTTCCGATGCTACTGTACTAACATCGAAATGGATAGGACCATACATAATCTCTGTAGCCGACACTAAAAGTGGAACCTATGAGATTAATAAACCCGATGGCACTAATCGGATTCCGACTATTGATATTATTCTCGCAAGAAGACATCTGCACTTCTTGACCGCTCCGAATTCAATGACACTATATACCATATGTTCATACATTGTATCATACATTCTTGACTATTATGGTCCATCTATTCGTACTCTACCTGATAGTGTGTCGGACGTACCACGACAAGGAACAGGAATCGCTCACTAGGGTTTTAGGGGTTTAGGGTCTGGTGCGGCATTGGCTTACCCCCATCCTCGCTTCTCGACCGGATTATGACGGATAACCTGGTCGTTTCGTACTCTGCACTAACCCATTCCGCGGCACTACACGGCGCAGACCCGATCCGTACCACAGAGGTGAGTACTCTACTTAGTAGGTCAGCAAGAAAATATATGGAACATTCGATAGTAACAGTGTTTTGTCAACACCGGCCCGAATTGACTCAGCACATATCTTCCATTGTCGACTCACTTGGCCCAAGCTTCAAACGGGAATTTACTGACCACTTCTTCCCATCAATCTTTCCTGAACCCCTACAACGACTATGAGAGCCATACCATATGTTCATACATTGTATCATACATACTTGTCATTTTTGAAATAAATAATAATATCCCTAGGGATGATATTCTTTGGCCCAAGCTTCAAACGGAAATTTACTGACCACTTCTTCCCATCAATCTTTCCTGAACCCCTACAACGACTATGAGAGCCATACCATATGTTCATACATTGTATCATACATACTTGTCATTTTTGAAATAAATAATATTATCCCTAGGGATGATATTCTTTATTTAAAGGAGATAGGTTATAATGTATGTACATATGATATGGCTCTCATAGCCGTTGTAGTGGTTCGGGGGAGATCGATGGGAGCGTGGCTAACCAGGCTGAACTGGCGGTCAGTGATGTGGCGTAAGGCTCACAGGTACCTGGGGTTCCGGGAGAAAGAGGATGTTGTTTACTCAAATCAGAGGACGCTCAAAATCGGAGGGCAGCATTCTTACATCTAAGTTCGGGGAATATCGTGTCAGCGGGTCACAATCACAGGACTCCAAGTAGTGGGTGTGTGTTTGCTAACGACGTAAGGTGGTCGAAGCAGCAGACTAATTGTAAGGCTAGGCGGCTCCGTCAGATAAAGCTGCTTAGTTCAATTTTATTAGTCTGATGTTATTGGCCACTTTACGGTAGCGAAAGGGGCCAACAAATATCGGGGGGTTTGTTATATTTTAACATCTGATTAATCCTGTCCCTTGGTTCACGAGGGTCCCCGTTGCCAAGGACCAAGGGCCCTTGACAGGTGTCATTCGTTGACAGCTGAAATCGCCATAGTTCAGTACATCTTGGCTGGGTCTATACAGCTCCTGGATGGTAAGGACTCAGGACCAGGAGGACTCCTCAGGAGCCCAGGTCCCCAAGACTCCAGAGGCCAGGAGTCCTTTTAGGGCTCAGGGCTCAGGCCCAGACCCCTAGGGCCTAGGGCCCACTCACGCTCTGGGTCACAGGCCACAGGGCCCCAGGTAGCCTGTTTCAGGCCTGAAATTATCGACTTTTGGACAGAACATAAACATTTCACAAAAAAAGTCATGCCAGTCTGGACTCTGGACTCTGGCACCATCAATTATTCTGCATTCACCAATCAATATATCCCGTAGGGCGTAGGCCGTAGAGCCTCTGAGTAGAGAGAGAGGCCTAGGCCGTGGGGCCGTGGGGAACGGCCCTACATACGTAGAGTCGTTACTCGTTCGACCCTCGTAGAGGGGGGCTAACTAAATATATAGAGGGCTTCAAGCCGAAGGCCGTAGGGTGTAGCCTGTAGGGAGTGTAGGCCTTGTAGAGACTTTTAGAGAGAACGCCAGCGAAGGTTTTCTTCCGAGTGACAGACTGACAGTTATCAGCTATGACTTATGACTCGTGAGTCAGCTGGAAGCTAATTTACTCTAATAGCTCACTATACAATAGAGATTTCCCAACAGCCAATTGTTTATTTGAAAATTAAAATTTTATGTTTTATGGATGCACTGTAAACATAGTCATGCTGGATTCGGGATTCCTTGGCTCCTGGATATGTATTTTGTATTTTTACAAAAAAAGAAAAAGTGTTTTGTGTTCACAAACTTCAGTCTTCTTCGAGTTCAGACTTCAGACTCAAGATGTCTCAGGCCCTTTAGGCGATTTCTAACCTGCCCGATGAAGAACCGGCGAGAAACTGAAAGTCACAACTCACAGAGTTTGGTCTGTCTTCAGTCTTCCCCGGTCCAGCAGAGATCAGTACACCAGCTACACAGTGCACACAGTAGTGACAGCACTACTATTTATAGGTTATTATTTACAATTTTGAATTCAGAAGGCTATGCCGCGCAGGCGCAGCCGCTGACGAATCAACACCCAGGCTCCAGTCAACACACAAGAGTGAGTGACGAATTTGATTTCCGACGGCCTTTCTTCAAATAAGTTAGTGGTATCAAATACGCCTTTTTTCTTTTAAAAATCAATTCCAGTTGTGAGGACTGAGGATTCGGAGTGGGGACTGGGGACTGAGGTCTGAGGAGTGAGAGGAGTGAGGAGTGAGGACGAGGACTGAGGAGTGAGGACTGAGTCAGTGAGGACTGAGGACTGAGAGTCTGAGATTCTGAGACACCGAGTGAGTGAGGATTGGGAGGATCTGAGCCTTCTGAGGACTGCGGGAGTCAGAGGGACTTCTATTTTACAATATCTAAAATCACCACGAGTCGCTGACACATGTACAAGAGAGTCAAGAGTTGAAGAGAGTGACAACTGAGTACTGACAAGTGACAACCGGAGTATTTTAAAAAGTGTGAACCCAGCCTGTACTCTGTAGTCCTGTACCCAGCTTTTAGGGGTTTGAAAACATCTGCAGTCTGCAGAACCCAGTCACAGAATTGTGAAATGTGAATTGTGGACGTGAACTTGTGTGAAGTTGTGCTTGCGAAGAAGTGTGAAATTCACAGTTCGCTGATAAAAGTGTGAAATATACTTCTTTAAAAAAACAACAATAATCGAACAGAAAAAATCTCTCCCTCGTATGTTTTTAAAATAAATAAATAGAGCGAGAGTCTGAAACTTTGAGTTTGAGATTCAGAAAAGAGAGAGACAACACACAAGAGATTGTATTTGTATACATATTTATTATTTGTTTATGTACATTGTACATACATACTACATATTGACTACTGAGTACTCTATGAATGTTTAAAAACAAAATGAAGTAGCATGCACATACAGTACAGAATCACTACTGACAGTCTGACACTCAGTAGTCAGTACTCAGTAGTCAGTAGTCAGTACTCAGTAGACGCTCAAAAAATATATTTACACTTTATAGTGTCTTTCCATCCCCCCACTACAATCCATACAGAGTTTTCATTTTTCCAAAAAAATAATATTATGAGATAATTTTATATATATTAATATACGAACTTTTATCTATCACCCAATATCCACTGCCAACTCAGTCAATAGAAAATGGTTAAATTCCATAACAGTACGTAAAAATGCATTCGATTTTACTCTGTTATACCTTTTTCTCGTTTTTTTTAAAAAGCAATTGTTCTTTTCAGTTCTCTCTGTTCTACAGTATATGAGTAGAATCATACTCAATTTATCATGTTTGTACAAGCAATTCTTCTTAAAAAATATTTCAGAGTAAATCCTTTCCTTTGTGTGAAACTCAAATCCCACTTACTTTTTAAAAAGATATGATGCCCCAATGTGAATAGGCGATCTCGTCATTTTCTTCTTTCCAAAAGGTTCAAATCACTCATTCTGGACAAAATGAGTTTGAGGTATGCAGTTTTATCAACGAAACCAACAGATCATTGATCATGAGTAGGCGGCAGTCGCCAGAGTCCAGTCGCGTACTCACTGTAGTAGTAAAAATACTCACGCGTTGGTAAAAATTACGTTTTTAAAAATAAATAAATAAAATTCAACCCCCTCCCCCAGTTCACTACTGCTCCCTGTACCGTGAGTACAGTCAGACCTTTTTGACGTTTCAATGTAAATATTGGACTAAAACTCAGATAGACAGGAATTGTTTAGTACTTTTGGACGTACCATTGGAATATTGAGCCTAATTAGAACGGATAAGTCTTCTGAAACTGGACAAAAGTAAAGTAGACAGAAAAAGAGGTTTGACTGTATTGCTTATTCCGTTGAAGGCCGATTTTGAAAAGGGTTCAAGCTGAGACTGCGCCGTGCAGCGTATAATATGTACGGATGTACAGTACGATTCTACATGTATTTCCTGTCATATCTTAGTAGTTAGGCACAGATAACAAGGATGATGCTGGCGAAGAACAAAGTCAGTTTTTGAACACGGAAGTATAACCGCTGCAAATACATACAATAATGTACTTAAAATCAGAAGTTCTACAATACGCGTCCGCCTTAGAAGTTAAGCATATACGTAGTGGTAAACCAAAACCTCAACTTGCTCGAGATCCGTTACTGCAGACAGTAGATCGTCCACAATGGGCAAAGCCACAAGACGTCGAAATTAGCTTATCCACACACAATGTTTCAAACATGTATTTTTCTCCTAGATTAGTATCACACAACACACTCACACCATCATCAGGCAAAGGGAGCGAAATAGCCGTCGAGAGATCAGCGGTTTCAACACAAGGTCCACGATTCCAACCCAAATCGATGACTAATACAGCAAGCAAGCCTAATTTAGAATATAGTGCAAACGATACTGATCCCCTATTCAATCATGCCAACCTGGAGACCTCAGACCCAAAATACAATGAAGTAGCGGACGTCATACCAGATGAAGGAAGGAAGTGGGGAGTCTATTCATATCACATGGGCGAGGCTATCCAGAAAGATTCCAGACTTCGTTCGTGTAAGGCTGTGAGGTCTTTGTCACTCGATTCTATAAGTAAAATCAATCAATATCCTCGTAGACAAACGTCCACAAATATTACAAATCGGTACAAGACTACTGAAGTTTCAGATTTGTTGCCAAGCAACCTTCAAGTCGAACGAAGCAAAGGGCAGAGAAGTGATATTGAACAACTCAAATCATTCAGTTTCAGAAAGGGTGAACATACTAGACCTTCAACCGAGCAGCATGATGGCGTTCAAATATTGGCTAGCGTACAATCTGCCACGGGAGTTTATGACGATGTTATCGTTAAACAGGTGGTGTCAAAACTCGACCACCTACATACGCCTAAATCTGCTATGAAACCTGTTACTGACCGAGCCAAGATGCTGTCAACAACGGTGAGTTTACCATCAACTGCGTCAATCAATGTACGCAAGTCGTGTATACGGCCAATGAAAGCAAAGCAGATCGCTCCTACCTCTGATACTCCGAAGTCCAAGATGACAGGAAATATCACACAGCCTACGATTGCTCGACAAGCTTTAAGATCGATAACGCCAACCAGCGGAGAAGTGAGGGAACAATACTCTTGTGGAGACATCGCACCTTTTACATATGAGATGATCGACAGTACGGCGAGACTGCAATGCAATCAACTCAGAAAAAATCGATCTTATGGCGACATCGAATCATCTACGAGCCATCCAATCGACATTAAATATTTCCGAACGATGAAAGCAAACAACTCACCCCACTCTTCGGAGGAGACTGAGAGATATGAATCTGCACCTTTTACTAGTGAGATGACGGACTGTATGGCAAGTCTGCAATGCAATCAACTCAGAAAGCAACGATCTTATGGCGACCTTGAATCATCTACAAGCCATCCAATCGACATTAAATACTTCCGAATGATGAAAGCAAACAGCTCACCCCACCCTTCGGAGGAGACTGAGAGATATGAATCCGAACCTGTTACTAGTGAGATGACGGACTGTACGGCAAGTCTGCAATGCAATCAACTCGGAAATAATCGATCTTATGGCGACATCGAATCATCTACAAGTCATCCCATCGACATTAAATATTTCCGAACGATGAAAGCAAACAACTCACCCCACCCTTCGGAGGAGACTGAGAGATATGAATCCGCACCTTTTACTAGTGAGAAGACGGACTGTACGGCAAGTCTGCAATACAATCAACTCAGAAAGCAGCGATCTTATGGCGACCTCGAATCATCTATCAGCCATCCAATCGACATTAAATACTTCCGAACGATGAAAGCAAACAACTCAACCCATCCTTCGAAGACTGAGAGCTACAAATCCAATTCACAAATTACGAGTTCTCAAGATTCTCCCAACTCCCGTTGTATACAGTATAAAAAAAAATGCTTCACTGAAACCATCGCGCCGGCAAGTGTATCGATTGACTGTAAAAACAGTGGTGGACCAACGCTGTTTGCGAACGTTCAGAGTGCACCAAGGGTTTCTCCGAGACCGTCAAGAACATACCAACACTCTAATAATGCTTCACCTGTGCACATGATGGCATCGTCGAGATCGACACCCGTTGCTACAAAATCGACGACTATGTTGGGTTCGCCAGCATCAGGGTTGACCATGCGACCGCGACCGCGGCCGTCTGCCTTGGTCTGTCGATCTACAACACAAGTCGTGCAAAAAAATTGCAAGGAGAGTGTGATGAAAACTAGTTCTAAGATATCTCGACATGCAACCGACAGTGGTGTATATACTTCTTCGCGCTCAGAGCATGGTGGTGTGCATACAAAGGATGAGGACCTGGTCTGGACGCAATCCGAGCCTAACGACAATTACAGGGCATTGAGCGCTGTCAGTAGCAGCGGAGACGCCGCACAAAGTAGTTCAAGTGCGATGCGTTCTCACCAAGACAATGCTACCGACTCACGAAGCTTATGGTATACTACTACGAGTGGTCGTGGTTCCCTCCAAACGGCACCGGCCTTAAGGAGCTGTATGTCAGCAGGTGAATATGGCGTGAATTCTTCTCAGACTACGACTGGTCAAACAGGACCCCGATTTCATATACAACCACGCCCTCGACCACGTACTCAACTTTCAGACTCTAGGAATGGCACTCCCGCAGCAGACGTGTGTACTAACATGTCGCAAGCCGAGGTTAGTGCAGAAGGGAGAGTATCGCATAACTTCAAGTGCTCTAGTAGCGCCCCTGTAGGGACCACCGCACTCCAACCTTTGAAGGGTGTGCGCAACTCATCAGCGATAGTGGCAAGCCCATTGAATCCAAAGAAGGCTTCATTGCCACGGAACACGTACTTCAAGGGCAGGCGATCTAGTGAACAGAAACTCCAGTTAAGCGATAGTAGTACTGCCGCGGCGAAGGAAAACGCCTTACGGTCTACCAGTATGGGCGGCTTTCCTGGAAAACGGGTTGAGAATAAGGACAAGAACAAACCCATTTTCTTTGCCAACGAACAAACGGACGGCTGTGACCCTTTTTGTCAAAAAAAGGATAACATCCCCAAGTTTCCCTTACTAGTCCCCGAGCCAAACCAAAGGCCGAGGATTACCTAAGCCGACTACTTGAGCAGCTGTGTGCAATTGGACCACACGGAGTACCACTCCGAAGACGATATGGATTGCAACGACGCTGACTTCCTTATCCCGTCACGCCACCTGCGAAATGTCTCCCATAGTAAACTGTCGAGTATGTCTTCCCGCTGGAACGGCGAAGGTAATGACTTACACGAGAACGCGATAACCAAGACGATGAAAGATGTGAGGAGGCACATGCAAAATCGCGACCAGAACTTGCTATATTAGTAAGTGTCGAACAATTGTGAATAAAGAAGAAAGTATTGGATGTAAAGAACGAATCTATCAATTTAAAGACGAATGTGATAGGGTGCATAGCGAAGGTAACGTTCTTGTCAGTGTACGCTCTAACTCGACAACATTTATCGCTAGTTCAAATGCTATCCGCATATGCGTGCATTTACCTTATTTATTTGTTGCTAAATCTATGTGGCCTGATACTTTCAACCATTCGATGTTTCAGTTCAACTTTGGGCTATTTGATGCAGTCTCGAACAACGGACTATAGAAAACTTTCGCTCTCAATGGTATCCAGAGTGCGCTTGACTTGCACTCATTTTGAGACTCTTGGCAGTCGTTTAGAGGTTCCGAACTTCTCAAGGGAAACCATACTGGCTATGAGCTCTCACTGCATATGTGGTACGAGAGCAGTTGACATATGCCTCGCTAAGTCCCGAACTTCCCAAAGAAAACCATACTAGCTATGTGCTAACACTGCACATGCGGTCATACAGCAGATGACACACCCTCTCTCCCGTACACATTCTTCAGAGCCGCCAAGTTGCAAACTAATTCAGGAAAACCACATTGACTGTGTACCTGCACCACAAAGGTGATATGCGTTCCGTGAACAGGCACTGATTACTAAGTGTGTCTCACTCCCATCAAAGTACCGAACTTCGTCCACACTGGCGGGGTACTGGTTCTCTACTGTTGTTCAGAGTGCCGTGGACATGCGTTGGTCCCATAGAGGCAGGTCCTTTGGGGGCAAGAATTGCCTGCACACAGAGATGAAGCACCACGGGTGAGAGGAGAACGGACACCTGAGCGCGCATTTGGAAGTGTGATTCACATCTACAGTGGGCATGTATACGTCAGTAAACCTGAGTATATACACATCTACAGTGGGTATATATACGTCAAGAGACCTGAGTATACACACATCTACAGTGGGTATATATACGTTAGTAAACCTGAGTTTATACACATACACAGTCGCAGGCATGTCTTTGTCATATGCATACACTGTGTTCAAGAAACGCCTAGTATCACCCGTAACACCATAGCGAACGCACCTGAAGGCTCTGAGCAGATGAGGTGTGTCCCCAAACATCTGGTTGACCTGATCAAGGAGTTGGTGCGCCGATACTTTACCCCTTTTCGCATTCTAAACTCCATCCCAACCGAGACCAGAAGGGAGTACGGGGAGTAGGGAACAAGTGAGTAAATACGCAAATAAGTAACGCAAGCAGGAAACAAGTGCGAGAATAAGCACGTAGGTAACGAAAATAGGAAACAAGTAGTGAAAGAAGCACATTAGTAACGAAAATAGGAAATAAGTGAGGAAATAGGCAAACACGTAAGGAAATTGGGAACAAGGAAGTCTAATCAGAATAACATATTGTGTGTGTGTGCGCGCGCGCGTATGTGTGTGTGTGTGTGTGCGCGCGTATGTGTGTGCGTGTGTGTATGTATAAGTGGACAGCTGATTGATGCGTTACCTGGGAACTTCATTACAACTACAGGTGGCTCTGCACTTACCAGCAGCAGTAGCATAAAGTTCTTGTATTGATCCTTCTTAATTCGCTTCACCTGGGGCGTGCAAGAAAGAGAGCGGAATAAGGTATTGGAACACCCGAGAGAAGAATTCCAGAATATTCTAGGGTTTAGAGTTTGGGGTTTAGGACACTGTCACAGACACAGACACACACACACATATATATATATATATATACATTGGTTGTACGATCACTGAAGTGGTAGAGAGATACTTATCATAGGGTCATTCTTGATGGGTCTTAGATATGTTACCAATTAAATACACACACTTGCTTGCTTCGCACAGAAAGACGTATACACTCGGATGGATACATCACAAGGGCAACCTATTCAGTTGCAGTACAATCCCACCTCAGTCATGTACGGCTTAGATCCCTGTAGTTCAGCCTCAGATGGCACTTTGTTGGCTGTAGAGGAAGCACAAGTTGGCATATGAGAACACACATACTCAAGTGTATGTACATGACAATGAAGCTCATACACACTCGAGTGTCTGTGGTAGGGGTAGACTAGATAGGTAGGAATAAGTGCATGTGTACCTGATACGAAGTTTGTGTGAGGTATTGGGTATATACGTTTTTGTCTTGCCAGCAGACTGACCTCTCACGCTAAGGACCAAGTTAACGGTATCTTGTTTTGCGTACTTTACGTACTATAAGCCTGTACACATACAGGAAAGATTGTGCGATCCCTAAATTCATAATATAAATGCATAATTCTAAGGAATTCGTTATATACTTTCCTACATGGATATTCGAGTCTATATATATATATATATATATATATAAAGGTGATAAAGAGGAGACTTACACATGCAGAGTATATACTTTCATATAAAAATACACTTGTCTTCTAAATATATATCATAACAATATATTTGAGAGAATCACTTAACGAACAATGAGGATATCGAGTGTATGAAACTTACACGTACATAACACATACCTCCAGAAAGGGATACACATGACTTCTATAAATAGGTATGCACATGTCTTCTAAAAATAGATGCGCAGATGTAAAGGTCTCTACATATGGACACATATATCATATTTATATCAATGCACACATCGAGTGCGCGTGAAAACTACATGTGCAGAACATATACTTCAACAAGAAGGTACACGCATGTCTACTATAGATAAAGTTACAGATTGAATAAGGTCTTTCAATACAGATACATATATCATATCTGTATATATTGAGCGAGTCACTCGATGAACAACGGGCAGATGGAGTGTATGCCTGCATATGCGTATTGCCAAAACCAAAGACAATCAATTCCCCGACATACCCTTCACCGCTTCAATCCCCCGACATACCCTCCACCGCTTCAATCCCCGCAAACGTTTCTGATGAATTGCTGGCGCCAAATAATGAATTTGGCGTTTTCCGCTTCAAGGGTCTCGATTTTGGGTTCACTTTTGGCTTTTGAGTGCTACATATGGAACAAGAGGAGAGAATTTAATATAAAGCACAAGTCCAATGACGTGGTCGAAGGGAAGCGTTCCACCTTACATACCAAAACGGAATTGGGTGTGTGATGTGTGTGTGATGTGAATATGAAGGTTAGTGATTGGGTGCGTGGAGTGTATATGAAATGTCTGGGTGAGTGTAGTGCACATGAAAACCAGGAATTAGGTATGCTGCGCATATAAAAATAAGGTATCGGGTGTGTGTTGTGCATATGAAAACCAGGAATGGTGTGTGTGTTGTCATACGAAAATTAGGAATAGGGTGTGTGTAGCGCATATAAAATTCTGAAATTGGGTGTGCGTTGTGCATATTAAAATCACAAATTGGGTGATTTTTATACATACATGGTCAATTACACCGCTCATATGTGTCCATTGAATTGGTGTCGCATTTGATTTAGGGTTGGCTTACTATATTTAACAAAGTTACTCAGAGCTAACAAATATATTCACACACACACACACACACACATATATATATATATATACATATATATATATATATATATATATATACACGTCCCGGTTATGATTGCAAGTGTTTTCGGTTGTTATTGACCGAAGGTGATGACTTGGGCAGTTAAATAGAATGCACACACGGTTTGTCTCCAAATTTCCATTTCCACTAACCACAGACGAGGAATAATTATACATCCACATAAACAAACGAATACTACAGACACAAATGGAATTAATATAATTCCAAGCACAACACAGGCATACATTCATATATGCAAATGAATATAATTCCAGACACAACACAGGCATACATTCATATACGCAAATGAATATAGCTCCAGACAACACTCAGGTACACATCCACATGTTAAATAAACACAGTAGATGTGCACACACCCCTCAGTCGCGGCTTCGATTCCGAGTGCTTTCGGCTGTAGTTGGCCAAAGGTGACCACTGGTTTCGGTTTTGGCGGTGAGAAAAAGTCCCTACCTCCGTTGGTGTTGTATTCTGAGCATATCGAAGAGACGAATGAATTGTGTCACAGAATACGACAAATACGACAAAAACCGTACAACATGACTAGATATGTGCGTGAGTACAACTGGAAATTAATTCTCTGTGCTTGCACACTATGGAAAAATTAGATTCTTCACCATGCATGGTGTATATTTATATATATATAACATATATACATACATACATACAT